GCCGACCAGGCGTCTACGGAGACTAGGACTGCGGTAATATTCTTTGCAACTATTCTGATGTACTGTCTAGATTTCGCTATAAACACGGGTAGGACTACTTATCTCGTCCCATTATCTTAACCATACTGAACGGTTACAGTTCAAGCAGGTATTCGGTGCTTCATTGTCGATAATGCGCCGGCCCACCAACAGGAATCAGCGAACGCGTGGGCTAGCCGGCTCACTGGAGTGGGCAATATTCTGGGATACATTTTTGGATATATTGATTTGCCCCGCTATCTCCCATTCTTGGGAAATACGCAGTTCAAAGTGTTGTGTGCACTAGCATCGTTGTCACTTGTTATCACGTTATTGATCAGCTGTCTATATATCCAGGAAAGAGATCCGCGGCTCGAACCCTCGGCATCAACCGGAAATCCTGGCGTTGTGGCCTTCTTCAAACAAGTTTTTAAGTCAATTCAGTATCTACCACCCCAGATTGCCAAAGTCTGTGAAGTCCAACTGGCTGCATGGGTTGGGTGGTTTCCTTTCCTCTTCTACGCTACAACGTATATCGGCCAGCTTTACGTTAACCCGATCTTTGATGAACACCCGAACCTTCCTGACAATGAAATAGACAAGGCCTGGGAGAAAGCTACTAGGATCGGAACCTTTGCTCTTCTTATATATGCAATCATTTCGTTTGTCACTAACATAACATTGCCGATTTTTGTTGTCCCTACTTATAGGTCTGTTGTCTTATCCGAGGAAACCAACACCTCTTCAGATGAGAGAAGGCCATTCATAGAAACAAGAAGAACGTCATGCTCAAGCCTACCAGTTGGTCCTGCGTCGGAGCCGCCTCCGACTCTTCCCGATAAGCAGAATATCAAAGCTACAGACGGATCAACGTGGCTGTCAAAACTGCAGATCCCAGGGTTTACGCTCAGACGAGCTTGGCTCTTGTCTCATATACTCTTTGCGCTCTGCATGTTTAGCACCTTTTTCATCTACAGTTATCAAGCGGCGACAGTGGTGATTGGAATAGTCGGTATCTCCTGGGCTTTGACGCTCTGGGCACCTTTCGCGCTCATCTCTGCAGAGGTCGCACGGATTGATGCCGAACGTCGGGTTCGGCGACATCGGTCAGAGATGGCAGAACAGTATTCCGTCGACAACTCCACTCAGCCAAATTTAGCCACAGACGTTGGTGATCTGGAGGATGGGCCCAGGAAGCCAACGGATGAGGAAGAAAATCTAGCCCAGGCGGGAATCATTCTCGGGCTTCACAATGTCGCGGTCTCCTCACCACAGATCCTATCCAGCTTGATATGCAGTGCTATTTTCAAGATGTCCCAGGAACCTAGAGGTGAACCTTGGGATGATAGTGTTGGGTGGGTGTTGAGGTTCGGAGGTTGCGCTGCAGTGCTTGCAGCATGGCTGACTAGCCGGCTTTCTGAGGGACGTCGGTTGAAGTGAAAGATCTATGTAGTTCGAGTCGAAGTTGTGGCGATAGTTTTTAAGAAAAGCCAGAAGTTGTGGGAAAGAAGAAAAGAACCACCATATGACAAAGATGAGCGTGTATGTTCTTAGTTTAGTTAGTCCGTAGGTTCTGCATGCAACGTGCCGAATGATCAGCGGGCGGACAACCGGCGGGCCTGCTTTTCTTGGCAGGTCATCGGGCAAAATGCGGGCGACCACTGACCGTCGATTACTTGTCCCGATCTATCTGCATATCTCATCTTCCTGCTTCTCTTTCCTCTCACGTTCATTCTCGCCGCTCTATTCTTGCCAGTAGATTATGTGCGCCTTGATCTGGCGCCAGAGACTCGCAGCTGGAGCTAACCGCTTGGTGTCATCCGCTGTCGTGGTTGCGTGGCCTTCGTAAGGATGGCTAGCCAACTGATGGGTGATGCCCTTCATCAACTTATCCGTATGTCTCCTCCCCGCCAGTTTTCCAACGATTTGCCCTCAAGAGCGCTCTCACTTGTCACTGCCACTGCGTCAGCGAAACTAGTTTCCGTGCCACATTGTGTGGCATATGCCCCAGGAATTGAACGCGCCATGGCTGACTGTTCCTGCTTTGCTAGGGAGAGCTGCGGACTCCGAATCCGATCCCGACGAAGGTGCGCACCGAAATACCTAATATCCGGGTCATAACACCACTTTCTGACTATGGCGGGCTTGGATAGATGCTCCGGAAGCTGGCACCAAGGAGTTCTTCAGCTCTTGGGCGCTCTTTATTCTGATCATGCTCTTGATGTTTGCGCTATTCACCAGTTACATTCTCCAGCAGAAGAAGATCCAAGCGGTCCATGAAACTGTCCTTTCTATTTTTGCTGGTGTGTTTATTTATCCGTAATTAGCACAACATTTGTGTGGTTGGCGTCTCACGGGTGCTATAGGGATGTTCGTCGGATTGATCATTCGGTTGAGTCCCGAATCGCCTATTCAGGACAGCGTCACATTCGACTACCAGTTCTTCTTCAACCTCCTCCTTCCTCCAATTATCCTGGCCTCTGGGTACGAACTACATCAGGCAAATTTTTTTCGAAATATTGGAACTATTCTTACCTTTGCGTTTGCGGGGACTTTCATCTCGGCCATCGTGCTGGGACTTGTTTTGTTTGTCTGGACGCGGATTCCGCTGGATGGCTTGAACATTTCTTTTGTCGAAGCTATCTCTGTAGGTGCCACGCTCTCTGCGACGGATCCAGTTACTATCCTCGCCATTTTCAACCTGTACAAAGTCGAGCCGAAGCTTTACACCGTTATCTTCGGCGAATCGATTTTGAATGATGCCATCGCGATTGTCCTGTTTGAGACCGCGCAGAAGTATGCCGACAGCGATGCAGGCTCTCTGACTGTTCTCAATCTGTTTGAGGCCATCGGTCTTTTCTTGCTTGTTTTCTTTGGCAGCATGCTGGTAGGCATGATTGTAGGTATCATGACCGCACTGGGTCTCAAACATACACACGTCCGCCGCGTGCCCAAGATTGAGAGTTGCCTAATAGTTCTCATCGCATATGCCAGTTACTTTTTCTCCAACGGCGTTCGTCTTTCTGGTGGGTAACCCAATTCTTTCTCCAGATGATCTGAAACTTACAGTTAACAGGCATTGTCTCCCTTCTGTTTTGTGGCATTACATTAAAACACTATGCGTACTATAACATGTCGCGCCGGACTCAATTAACGACGAAATATCTGTTTCAGGTGATGGCACAATTGTCAGAGAACTTTATCTTCATTTATCTGGGCCTTGATTTGCTTGTTCAAAGGAATCTGCAGTTCAAGCCCCTTTTCATCATGGTAGCTGTCTTTGGCATCTGCCTTGCCCGATACCTCGCCGTGTTCCCGCTATCTAAGGCGATCAATTGGTTCATTCGTTACAGAGCCCGTCGACGCGGGATGGAGGTGGCAGATGAGTTGCCCTTTGCTTATCAAGCAATGCTCTTTTGGGCCGGGCTTCGTGGCGCTGTTGGTGTGGCGCTGGCTGCGGGCTTGACGGGTGTCAACGCGCCCGCGCTGCGAGCTACGGTGCTGGTCGTTGTCGTCCTGACGGTCATAATTTTTGGCGGCACCACAGCCCGAATGCTAGAAATCCTTGGTATTAGGACTGGGGTGGTTGAGGAACTCGAATCTGACGATGAATTTGATATTGAAGTTACCAATGGGGGAACGTATTACAAACGATCTGATACCGCGCTGGGATATACTCCCCGCCGTATGGACTCAACCATTCCCTTGGACGGAGTGCAGCGGGGGGGCCTTGACCGAAATGATAGCTATTCAAGCGGCAATAACCGCCGTCCCAGCCCGCCGCCATCTAGTTCGGGCAAAGGCCGGAGACATTCGCGTTTATATTCCAATGCGTACAGCCAGAGGGACACGCAACCAACCCGCGACCGTTCATCCACAGCCACGCTGCTTGGCGGCGGCACTGGAAGTCATAGTGATAGTGCGGGTAGCGAAGACGAGTTCGGTCTGCGGAGTCACGGTAAGGCCCGAGCGGCGGATGTTGACCAAATTGATGCCTTTGATATAGACGTGGATGAAGCACCCTCGGATGATGACCTTCCTCCTTCAGCTCCCACGGCTTCGCGACTGCGGCGGTCACCATCCCAACCACCCCAATATCCGGGTTCTTCACAAGCATCTCCTTCTGCCAATGTGTCCCCATCGAGGCGAGAGACAGCGCGGAGCGCCAGTCAAGCTATTCGTGATCTTTTTTCAGGAGGGTCATCTGGAGATCACGGCGCGTGGTTCCGGCAATTGGATGAGGACTACATCAAACCCCGACTTTTGTTGGATCAATCGAACCATAAGGGACCGGGTGCTGTGTAGACGATCTTTGATATACCTATAGTTTGCTTTCGATCGTTCGGTTTCATCACAAGCTTGTAGCTTTTATACTTTTGATATACCAGCCGGCTCTAGGCATGCTGTGTACTTATCTTGTTTTGCAATCGGTTGGCATCGCAGAGTCTGGAAACTCTGTGGTAAGTCGTGTACATTGAGAAGAATTCATGCAATTGTTTCCTGTTTGTGGTCAATGAAAGAAAGCATTTCGTCTCAGCTTAACTACAGGGCTATCTTTTCAAACGACTTTAATTGATGGAAGCGGTTGTTTTTTGAAACGAGTATTGATCTCGTACAGTAATACAGCGTATGTTAAGTTCGTCACTAGGATTTGTCCCATCTCGTCTCGTTTCCCCTCTTTTCTCTCTCTATCTTCATTCTTATCGACCCAGCCGGATTGGTCGCATGACCCGAGAGCCGGGGAAGTAAGGGAAGGGATAAACATTCGTCATGCAGAGATGGCTTATCGACGAAGAGCTTATTGAGGGCAAACCAGAAGAAGTCCCTGGTCTAGCCACTTCCTTCACACAACTCTTTCCCCTCCTTCTCCTAGTCCCTCACTCCAACACCCTACAGAGAGGCCTTACTACTAGCTATTTCCTTTTGGTCAGCCATCGTATCTCGCTGTTTTCGCTTTTTGTTCTTTCAAGGAATCTCAAGTTATGGCTATCAAGGCCAAGGCTGCTTCGGCAGCAGAAAAGGATGACATCCCAGTGGAGTCTGGGGATATGCAACTTCTGGGTAAGCTCTTTAGGATACCCAGGCCCTAACCTCAATCATATACCTATGCACATAGACTGCAACATTGATATTGATCTCGCCAGCCACTCTCGGTTACAAACAGGAACTACGAAGGCATTACTCGACGACTCAGGTCTTTGCAGTAGCATTCAGCATCATGGGCCTATTGCCTTCTATTGCTTCTACACTGTCCTTCTCGATACCTGCAGGTCCTGTAGGGCTGGTTTGGGTGAATCGATAAATCTCTCCATTTGGAAAACTTTGGCTGACTCATTGAGTAGGGTAAGGCTCTCTTGGCTCGCTCCTTCAACGTTACAAGGGGCTGACAGAATTGCAGGATGGCTAGCTGCTAGTGTATTCATCTTTATCGTTGGTCTCGCCATGGTATGTCTAGTACATCGTCCCTCGCTCCCCGTGCATTAGTCTGACAATCGTTGATCAAGGCTGACCTGGCTTCTGCAATGCCAACGGCGGGAGGCCTTTATTTTTGGACACATTATTTCAGTGCAGACAGATGGAAGAACCCTCTGAGCTTTGTTGTCGGATACAGTAATACTATCGGTCTCCTTGGTGGAGTCTGCTCTGTGGATTGTATGTAACCTACAACATCTGTGCAACAAGTTGCGACCCTGTGCCACTGACAGTTGCAAGATGGATTCGCTACCATGCTACTTTCGGTTGTCTCACTGTCCCATGATGGTAACTGGACTGCCTCTCGCGCAGTTGTGTACGGAACGTACGTGGCATGCGTCGTCGTCCATGGTCTCATAGCTACGTTCTTTGGACGTATCATGCCCAAGATTCAGTCAGCGTGTATTGTGAGCAATGTCGGTCTCGTGCTAGCCACTGCTCTCGCATTACCAATCGGGAAGGCTATCAGAGGCGGACATATTAACGCGGGTGCCTATGTTTTCGGTCATCTTGGAAATCTCACAACCTGGCCCCAAGGTTGGGCGTTCATGCTGGCCTGGCTCTCCCCGATCTGGACAATTGGGGCGTTCGACTCGTGTGTCCACATGAGCGAGGAGGCTACTCATGCGGCGCGCGCTGTACCTCTAGGTATCATCTGGTCTGCAGGCCTCTGTGGGGCTCTAGGTTTTCTCTCCCTTGCAGTAATCGCAGCTGTAATTGATGTCAACTTGGACAGTGTATTGAGTACAAACCTTGGCCAACCCATGGCGCAGGTAAGCATATACATATACCACAACTCCTCTAGCATACCAACCCTAACGATAATATAGATCTATTACGACTGCCTCGGAAAAAGCGGTGCCCTTGGCTTCATGATAGTTGTGGCAATTGTACAATTTTTCATGGGTCTGAGTCTGGTTCGTCTTCCCTCCACAACATACATCTGTGTCTATCACACCCATAACTCTAACATTGAAAAAAAAAAATTACTTAACAGGTGATCGCCGCCTCTCGCCAAAGTTGGGCCTTCTCGCGAGATGGCGCCCTCCCCTTCTCCTCCTTCTTCCGCAAAGTCAGCAAAAAGATCCGCTACCAACCTGTACGCATGATTTGGGGCGTCGTAGTATCCGCTGTCATCGTCGGTCTCCTCTGCATAATCAACAGCGCCGCTTCGAATGCCCTCTTCTCTCTTGCCGTAGCCGGCAATGATCTCGCTTGGATGATGCCCATCCTCTGCCGGTTGGTCTGGGGCCAGGATCGGTTCCACCCTGGCGAATTCTATACGGGTCGATTTAGTAAACCGATAGCGGTCGTCGCTATTGTGTACTTAGTGTTTGCGATCATTCTATGTATGTTTCCGACTATGGGGCCGGATCCAACTTGTAAGTCTTCCCCCTTCATTTCTTTCATGGTATATATTCGTTTCATTAGTAAAGTTGACGCTTGATTTAGCGCAGGATATGAATTATACAGTTGTTATCAATGGAGCGCTTTGGGGTGGTGCTCTTCTGTATTATGGTCTGTATGCAAGGAAGGTATATAAGGGACCTCAGACAACAGTCGGCTCGTCGTCCAGTGTTTCCGAGGCAAATATCGGAGGGTTATGATGAGCAGGACACAAGTAGTCGTACTGGCGTTTACGAGACGAGACAGACTATTTCATCTCTAACTGCGACACGGAGCATATGTACGGGGCAAGGAAAGACGAACACTCAACACGAGGTAAACGAAACGCTATTAAATCAATACCATGAATTATTACTATCTGCTAGAAGATGCTACCCACCACCCCGAATCCCACGCATAGGTGCTCCTATGGCATCTTCTGTGTCGATGTTCTTATTTCCTTCATAGTCTGTAGCTGAAGACCCTGAAGAGACGGTGAAATCTCATAATACTCGTAGCTGTTATCATTCCGTGCCTTTTGATTATATTCCCTTCATTCGGGAATCTCTAGCACATAACGGCCGGCGATCTTGCCTTGCTCTGTTGCATTTGTTAGCGTAGTTCCATAAAAGACGAGGGATCCATTTTTAAGAAATAAAGGGTAAACGAACCCATGAGCTCGAAGATCTTCGGGAGATCTTTCAATGGTGCAGTCTTGAATGGAGCCTTGATCAAACCGCGGGCGAAGAAATCCACAGCCTCCACGCCATCTTGACGGTTACCGACGTAGCTACCCTTGATGTTGATCATACGGACGACGGTATTGAAAACAGGGGCCCTGAGGAAGGCACCGGCGGGCAAGCCAATAGCGACGACGGTACCACGCGAGCGGACGTACTCGGCGGCCTGCTGGAAGGGCTTTTCGGCGACGGCAAGAAGGATGACGGCATGTGCACCTAGGCCTTCGGGGGTAGCGGCTTTAACGTCTGCAACGAGATCTTGGGTCTTAGTGAAGTCGACGTATGCCTATGAGACTATGTTAGCGAGTGTCTTTATAATATCAATGAGAGGAGATACCGGGGAAGGAGTATTGTATCAACCTACCTCAGCGCCTAGTTGCTCGCACATGGCTTGCTTCTCTTCTCCTCCGTCGATAGCCACCACACGGATGCCCATTGCCTTTGCATACTGCAGCGCCAAAGAACCAAGTCCACCACCAGCACCAACGATGGCAACGGTTTGGCCCGGACGAACACCAGATTCTTTGAGTCCCTTGTAGACCGTGATACCCGCACACAGGACAGGGGCGACAGCATCCAGAGGAACATTTTTTGGGAGTTTGGAGGCGTGGGCGGCCTTACCAATGGCGTACTGCTGGAAAGTGCCGTCGACGGTGTAGCCAGACAAGGAAGCATTTGGACAGAGAGGCTCGTCAGCTTGCTTACAGAATTCACAAGCGAGACAGGATCCATTGAGCCATTTGAGACCAGCGTGGTCGCCAATCTCGAATTCAGTTACAAGGTCACCCCTGGCGACGACCACACCAGCTCCCTCATGTCCACCTACGAGGGGCATCTTCACCGGGAGGGGCCAGTCACCCTTCAAGGCGTGAAGGTCGGTATGGCAAACGCCCGAGTAGCGAACCTTGACAAGGATCTCATCTGGTCCAGGCTTGGGAACAGGAATCTGCTTGTAGACGAGCGGACCGCCCTTCTGCTCGGCCACTTGAGCCCACTGCATCTCAGGAATCGACATTTTGACTTTGGGGGTCTTGTGTTGAAAGAAAGAAAGGGAAGAAAGGAGGTTGCGGTAGAGTTTGGGTTGATTTACACGATAAGGGAATCAATTGCAGGAGAGAAGTGATGAGGAAATGAAGTCAGCTGAGGGTGAGACTCTGGACAGTTCTTATAGAAGTCTGGAATCAAAAAGCAATGGGTGGTGGGGTGACGGTCATCCAACCCGGAAATCTCATAGCATGACGTCGTATTATTGGGTGGGAATAATAGTAGTGAATGAGAGTGAATGCGCTGGAGTGATAGTGATAGTGATACACACACCCAGGCGGACATATGGAAAACGAGTCACCGGAGAGAGGGAAAGGAAAGGTCAAGGGGGGAAAAAGATAAAAAAAAAAAAAAAAGAAAAGAAAAGCGATTCTGTGAGACACACCGAAACTATTCCAAGACAATCGAACGATTTGTATGGAAGATTATCAGCCCACCGAATAAAGAACAACAGCAGCAGCAGCAGCAACAACAACAACCAACGGGAGATCCATGGGTCGACGTCATCGGGGTTAAGCTCACTCCGCGCATTGCCCGATTGGTAGGATGGCGCATAAGCAACCATCCTTAAGGTTCAATTTTCATTCTTCCACATCTGTAAGTAAATACAGAGTCACACCTGACTTTCCCTTCCCCCGAAAATGCTTCCCTGTCAGGGAGTCCAGATCCTGGGCCAAGCCTTCCCAAATTTAGTAAAACTGGCGGTATCTCATGCGGGGAAGAAAAGAAGGTCCTTCTTTTCTTTTAAGGTTCCCTGTCAAACGTCAAGCTTTAATTTCGGGATAGACCACCGAATCAGGTAGATTCAACCTCAAGCTGAGACTCAAGAGGCAAACGAGACCATTAAAATCAGATGATGTCGATCGACTGATGGTCAATGGAAGTGGCAACCCTAGTCAGTTTTAAGGAAGGCATCGATGCCTCAGGCGGAATTGCGATCCGCTAGTTCTGTTTCTGTGTTAGTGTATGTCCGTCCTTCAAAAAGTCCAAGGTTAAGTTAAGTAGTACTAGCATGGGAGCCACTTCGCCCCATCTAAAACCCCCTCCTTCCTTCCTGCTTTGCTTTTTCTCGGGATTTGCTGAGATGCGGGATGGCTGAGCTTTCTTGGAATTCTACTCCAAGCTGACCTCGGACGTACGGAGCTCAACATATTGAAGGAATCCGCATATGAATGTATAATCCTGATACCTAACAGCGGCAGCTTCCTCATATCCGTATTGAACATAAGAGACATGAGGTCTGTAATTCGGCCAATTCCTTCTATAAACGAAAAGCTTGAACTTCTTCCTGGAAGTCAGCGACGACTTTTGTGACTCAGAACAAATGGTGTCTTCAGTAACATCTGTAGTATTATTACCTTGTCTGTGATTCAGTTCTCGTCGTCATCATTGTCTTCTCTCATCGTAGCCATGGATACGGAGACAATAACATTTACGCGCAGACCATCCTCACCATTTATAACGACGGAAGAATTTTCTGAGGGCAGGGCGACGGTTTTTAAACCTTTTCGAAGCCTAGCAGGAGTACCTTACGGGCGAAGGACCTTTTGGAAGCCACCAGACCTCCACCTTCTGTAGAAGTACATATAATCATGTCTGTTTCTTCATTGATAGCATTTTGGGCATGTAGCCTGCTGGTGAAGGTGACTTTCTAACATGCTTGATATGCCTATGATCTAAGACAATATAGGGATTCCTGTTCCACGTGTTTGCTACCGCTGTAACACCGCGACGAGCGTATGCTGTCAAACGAAAGCAAGCCAGTTTCCAACGATCCGATCTGTATCGTCCCGAAGGTCTCAGCCATATAGCCCTTAAGTTGATATCGCTCATCGGATCAAACAATTTCTTGTTACAATTACATGTCAAGCATACATACGTCTAAAATGACCAGCGTCTTGGGTGGATGAAGCAAATCGAGAGATCAAAGTCAGTCAGTGGATATATCAATGCCTTCCTGAGTATTCACGCAAGATGAGGAGGTACTCTCCTGCCTTACTGCTGGGCATGAACTCGCAGCTCTAAAATGGTAGTCATTACTCGATGAGAAAATCAAGGAAGGCTTAACTGCACTTAAAACAGAGATGTCATTTTACAGGTGTAGAAGCTTCTCTCTCTCGGCTTTCAGCCAGCTTGCTCAGCACGCATCTCAAAGGTATGTACCTGATTCAGTGTTACAGAAATGGTGATATTATTCGACGGTGCGTGTCTTAAAACTTTGCTAGCTATTGTTGATGGCCGGTTATACAGAATGCCAGCGGGGATTTCCACAGGGTTACTTAATGCTATGGAATATATCTTTATCACTATTCAGTTCGAACATAGTCAAAAACAAAACCGCAGAAAAGGTAACGCTTGAAAAAAGAAAAAAAAAAGGTTATCCAGGATTCAACTGGTTTTGCGTTTGAAGTCCACGGTATAGCCGGCGTAAGGAATGAAAGGACGGGATTCAATATGACGAAAACCCTTTTATTTCATAAAGGAGGTGCAAAAGTACGCCTGGGTGGTAGATTACTTTTTCTTGGCTTGTGGCCATGAGGAAAGCGGTTGTCGACATATGTAGCAATGGGTAACTGGAATAACACAAGGAAGCTAATAGGGAAAATAACTGTCTGGCCCATATCAATCGAAGATGGAGCATTCAATCTACTTAAGATCCGGGGATGGTAATTACCAGTATTAAACTAAATGGGCTCAATCGTGACAGAGATCCGTTGAAATTTTTACATACCTACTGAATATGGCTGAGCTGCTTAGAGGATAATATAGGGAACCAAAGTGAACGAACTTGTCCTGCAATATGAATTGCCTCAAATGGCTTGCATACATAAATACAGGATATAGTACTACTAGTACTGTGCACATATCTATGTACATACAGTATGGATGTACATTCCTCCTAGGCTGCAAAAGGAGATACTCGATAAGCTCAACCCAACCTGTCTCACAAATGCCTAAATCTGCCTAGTGTACTTTACCGTAAGTAATGAAAGTACATGTACCGCGACGAGCGTGTTTCGGATGGGCTTTAAGCAGTACAGCGGACGAACGACACGACGAAGGAACAAGACCAGACAGGAAAGAAGAGTTGGGCAAAGGGGGAAACGGACAGAAAGTGACCAGAGAGGGAAAAATACTGGATCGGCCAACAATCATCAATCACCATAATCAACCACCACCATCTCATCCGCCATCGTCACTCTTTCTTCCTTCCTCTCCTCCTCCTCATCCTCATCCTCTTTCCTGTCCTTTCCATCTCCATCACCATCTCACCGATCCGTAACCAATCTGGAACTCCCATCTTCTTTTCTCTCAGCTCCAACCGCCCGCCGGCCCAGGCAAATTGATTACACCCACCACTCCTTGGCTGGGCCTGGCTTTTGGCGCATCTTCGCCTCATCGGTCGACTGTTGTTCTGTTTCGGAAACCGCTGACCCGCCGCGAGGATTTGTCGGTTCACCATTAAGCACAAAGAGCCTTCGTCTTAAGATTCCTGTGCACCCCGTAAGGCAATTTCCCCTTCCACTCCATCTTCGTCCCTTTCCTACATTCACCTTCGCAACTATAACACATCGGCGATCCCCTACCATCCTTTTCAATTCACCTCCCGATACTTGGACTACTCGAATTAATTCTCAGAGCAGGTAGCGCCAAAAGCGACAACCGGACGGACGCGTGATAGCTTCGCTTTTACATTTCGCAACACTAACCTGGCCTCCCGCGCATGGCCGGCGGTCGCCCATCTGTGATAGTTCATGTTCATCTGACACAATCCTTCCTTCTTTCATCTCTTTCACTCTTACTGTTGGCATCG